CATCTCCCACGTTTGATAATTACGAAACAATGGCGACGAAATGAAAGAGAGGCTGTGGGAAAACCGCGGTGAAAATATTTTCACCGCGGTGTAAATATTTCTACCGCGGTTTAAATATTTCTACCGCGGTTTAAATATTTTCACTGCGGTTTAAATATTCTCACCGCGGTGTAAATATTTTCACCGCGGTGTAAATATTTTCACCGCGGTTTAAATATTCTCACCGCGGTTTAAATATTTTCAACGCGGTTTAAATATTCTCACCGCGGTGAAAATACTGGTGAAAATGTCGAAAATTCAAAATAAAAGCAGAACAATTCTGGAGAAAATTTTGGAAATTCGAGAAAAAGCAGGAAAATACAAGTGAAAATGTCAAAAATTAGAAAAATCGTCAATGGCCCTAACAAGCCACCGTAGAATAGGATTTATATTTTTGTGAAATAACTTGCATGGCAAAATAATTGACCGCTGCCGCCATTATTGAGTATTTGTATTAAATAGGGGACATCATTCTAATATATGGAGGGCGCTATGCAAAGATTTGAAATACAATTCACTATTGAACTGTACAGCAAGAAAAGGGGAAAAGAATGAAGAGAATCAGTAAATTTGTAGATTATGGTATATTCTGTTCGTGCCATGCAAATGACAATCCATTGTGTAGGTGGGTTATATTATGGAACAAAAACATGGCTTCGATGGCCATTTTCCAATATAACACATTATGCATGAAATCAAATGTAAAAACAGGACTAACAAAGGTCATAGCCATCATAGTGGCTTCAAAATATCCACACACTATTGTGATGTGTTGACTCAGGAACACACAAAACATCAAAGAAACCAAATTTAACTTATTGTTTATTCCGCCATTTTCAGTTACTAGTACCCCAACAGCACCACTATTTACATATCAATACACTCGGGTGATTAGGTGACATATAACACCATTATGTATTCTGTATGTATTCTGACGCATGCAATAAAGAAGTTCCAAAAACATCACAACTATACACATTTGATGAAGACCAATTTTGATGAACAGAGATTACTCTATGTCATATTTCTCTCGGAATGATAGGAATTTCAAACTTGAACTATAAAAAAAATCCAAGTCAAAATCAAATCATTCACATTTTTGAGGCAGATATTTGAACCCTGTTTTTCACACATTGTGCAAGATCTCGCAGTGAATGGAAAATCGAGTGTATGTGCCCGTGGGAAAATCAAACATCAAAACTACATACATTTTAACATTTTATTGCAGACTGAATATCACAAAAAAGTTTTAAAAATGACATTATAAATACATTATTATCATATAAGCCTACACAAGATAAAAAAAAAAAAACTTCATTGTTTCATGTTTTATAGAGAATAAATATTTATTGCAATTCATCGGCATGTCGTTTTGGCACTTAATGTCTGAAAACATAATTTTAAAATTTCATTGAATAGAGTCAAATTTCTTTTTTTTCTTGGCCTAATATGCTGATTACCAGTAATTATAAAAAAATGTCCTGAGTATATACTGATATGTAAAACATGCACTGAATAATTTATGTAAGAGTTCAATGTATATAACCAATATACAAAGTGACAAATCTGAATATCATGTAAATAAGGAAGCCATCTTGTTGTTTTTTTAGTAAAAGTTTATAACAAATTTTGCAGCTGTCATGAGATGTTAATGAATTTCTGAGTCAGGATAAATTGCAAAATGTTGTCATAGTGATGAAACCATAGATTTGAAAGAATGTCACATAGACAAGAACTTCATAACACCAATTATTTGATACAAGCATAATACCATAAATAATATGGTAATATTAATAAAAAAATAGTTGGATCAATATTTTTACATTGATCTTTATTTATTGTACCGTATTTTAAAATTGAGTGTAAATGAATAATAATTTCAGGCACATTGTTGACGTACATACAACCAATAACATGACAGGGACTGTGACTTTAACCAGGGGAAGTACAGACAAATTGAAAACACACAGCAAAAAATGAAAATAAAAAGAAAACGTGTAAAAAAATTACTGAGGTAGGTTATTGCAATAAAACATGTCAAAGATTATTAATTATAATTAAAGTAAATTTACAGCTATACTGTAAACTGTTTTGCTGCTAGACATTTTCATATTTTGAAGACTACTGTAAAATGACTACGGTAATTTTCACGGGGTTTAAATTTTGCTGATTTCCCATTTCAGGCATATTCAGTGGGTTTTAAATTCACGGTTTTATCATTTAGATAATGTGTTCTATGATAAATTTTACATAACCACTGGATTTAAATTTAGCACATTTTTCAGTCAGCAACATTAAAACCCAGTGAATAATAGACCTCTTTACAGTATAAGGCATTCTTGAAGATAAAATTCCACAAAAATCATGTTGTAGAACTTTTAACAAAATTTTGTGATTTTCACCGAAAATACAGATCTTATGTTGTTTGGCTAAAAATCATTATTCAATCAAAATAAAACATTTTTTAAAAATATATTCATAGTCTATAGTAATCAAAACAATCTTTTTCCTAATGAAGGAATCCATTTTCACACTGGTTATACAACAAAAGATAATAATCAAAATGAAGATAATATGCGGATAAGGTTTGCATTTAAATAATTATTATTTTTATAATTTAAGTTAAACACTGTTTAAATATGTGTATATAAACCTGAAACCTGTCCAAACAAGTACAATTTTCCCAATAGAATTGCTTATTTAAAAATCTCTATTGAATCAAACACCACTATATAATTAACAATGCTCAATCCATGATCTGTTTATACATGCTTTTCTCTACAATTCTGACTTATCAACAAACTAAAAATACACACTGCGATTATATAATGGATTGCATAAAACTGCTCCAAAAATATTTTTTTTAATAATAATTATTAACAAATCAACCCAATCATTACTGCCATGCAACTTAAGAACAGGTTTTTTGATTGGTCAAAACTGTTGACTATACCTCAAATATTTTATAATAATAACCTTAGACGGTTTTACTGATCAGTAACAGCAAACATTGCTGCAATATGTGTACCTAGTACATCACTGAGTATCGTCTATGAAAGCAGTCTAGTAATGCTGGGTAAATTGTTCTCTTAAAGCGAGAGGGTCGTCACCTGTACACGCGCGGGAATTGAGTCCCAAGAGACGATAACAATACATGCTAAAAATGCAAAGGCTCATGGGTAGATGCTTGTTTGTAAACAATGACACGCTTTAATTAATTGAAATAATGTTTATGGTCAATGGGTGACCATGAAGTTAATTGGCTGATAAATATAGCACACTGGTAATTTGAATATTCTAATTTTCCAGGCTATGGATACAAATTATATGTACAGTGCATAAGCTGTATCAGCTCATAGTTGCCATAGAGACAAGTGTTACCATTAACTTCATAAACCAATGACGTCATAAAAACCTCTGATTGTGATAGTTGTAATTCAGAACACATTTTGTACAGCATATCTATAACTTTTACCTTCTAAATAAATGTTAGTTGTAAAAATTATGACACTTATATATATATATATAATAAATAATAATATTCTGAATTTGGTTTAATGCTGATTAGTTATATCACTTTCTAATTGTGACTTTGTCTGCATGTATAGCTCAGAGGCACAGAGTAACTTATATCGCTGTTTCAAGTTTTTGGCTCTGACATGCTGGTTTAATATTTCTTCTGTATTGTCAGAGGGAAACCATCCAGTTTCACCGTCACGCAGCCGTGCACCGTAATACCAACCTAGTAGGTAAAAACAACACATGTGACTTGATTAATTATCATCTCTAGAAAATAATACATGTGTAAAGTAGATTTAGAGAACTGAGTGTGTATAGTAAGTTGAAGGAGAGAAATTGGGAGTAAACACAAATACTAAAAAACAGTTTGTGATTGAGAAACTCAATAAAAGTGTGCGACTCAATGAATGAGTTTGCTAGAAACAATTAAGGTAGCGAGAAGGGTTTGATGACGTTTTTGAATAAAGCATTCTCTGTCTGTTGTTTCATTCAGAAGCGTAATTTAGCATATATGATTCAAAAGCATAAGTATAGAGGGACAAGTTCGCGCAAACTGGACAGCCATTGTTTACATAAGTACCACGTGACAACAAAAATGGTTGAACCTTGTAAAAATAAAATCCGCGATTCTGAGAGAACACTGCAGAATTTCCTGATGAAATTTACGTCATGCATTGTCCGTAATCAAGTCCATTGAAATGTGTCCCCGGTAATCAAAAGACCTATTTTTCCGATTTCTACGCAGGTTTGTTTTTTTGTATGAATTAAAGGAAGAATTGTCAGAAGCACTCATTGAAAGAGTGTGAGTGACATATTCATGATCAGGACTTGATAAATGAGATTGTGAAAATAAAAATCAACAAGAAATGAGTGTATGATTCATTGAATGAGTGTAAGTCACTCAATGGATGAGTTTATGAGAAAACAGGACGAGATTGTGGCTCAATGAACCCAATGGATGAATGAGGGCATGATTCATTCAATGAATTAGCGTGAGTCCACTTAATCAATAAGTTAGTATGTTCAATTAATGAGGTGACAATCAGAATAAGTGAGTGAGGGACATAATTATAATTAATTATCTCTAGAAAGTGATGAGTGGATATTAGAAGGGTACTGAGCAAGTATAGCGAGTTGGATGAGAAATAAGATAAATTGGGAGTGTAAACATGAGGAAGAATAAAAATGTTTGTGAGCGGAAACTCAATAAATGAGTGTAACTCAATGCATGAATGAATGAGTAATGCGATGAATGAGTTTGTGAGAAACTGAATACATGAGTATACTTCATAGTGTGTAACAATAAAGTTTAAATCTGATGTTTGTAATAATATTGCTCCAGTAACAATATTTATATGTATTTGTTTTTGTCTTCCATTTAGTTAAAAACATTTATTTATTTATTGTAAATCATGTTAAACAAAATAAAACGGAGTAAGAAGGTGTATAATTTTCAGTTGTTTGACAACAAGTGCTCACACTTTGTATACCACTACTTACCATCTGGCAGTTTTCTGTATACATTGACGACATCAGATACTTCCAGTGAGATCTCATCTGATTCCAAGGCAGTGTGTGGCGTGAAGCACTGAACTTGAGGGCAGTCTATAATATAATAAAAAACGCAATACAACTTCTGACCATTCTACAAATACTGTAAATTCAATAATTAATCAATGGGTTTTAAATTTGCTATTTCACTGATAGGTGAATGTTCAATAACAATGAAATTAATTTTTTCACTGAAAAATGTATGAATTTAAAAATGTTAAATATGCTAAAATTATTAAAATAAGTAAAATCAAATAAAAATAAATGCTTCTACATTATATAGTGTATGAGTTGAAGATGCATGAAAAGGAATTTGGAAGATCTAAAAATGTGAAGTCTTAAATATTACGACGAAAAGTATGTTGTATTTGGTGATTAAACACCACAACCTCAAGTACCTGATAGCTTCAGTGTTGAAATATTTCAAAATTTGTTGCCAACTGATTTTTTTTATCATTTTCCACAATTATAAGTAGGAAGTGTTCTGCATATACCGTACTCATCCGAGTTAGCGAAAAAGGTACTCAGCTCAGAAAATGTTTTTTTGGGGGGAGCAATTAGTCAACAACCCCACTTGGCCATTTTTGTTCATCATTTGTCAGATTAGGGGGAATTACAATTGTGAAATGAATTGCATTGCTTTTTATTTCCACACTTTCACAATGACGATATAGAAATGACCACAAAAAGTACACACACATTTCATTTACAATATTATTTAAATACCATACGGAATTTATTAGAGATTGTTGGAAAATGGTTGAAGTCAAGAGATTCATCATTATCTTTGTTAACTGTTTTTGATCATTTGCAAATTCTCGATGCGAAGCAATTTCCGCTATGATGTTTTGACCTGCAACATTGTCTTTTAAACTGATAGGTCAAGTCAGTTATTTAACCAATCAGAATACACTGTTGTATCGATGCAATAGTTCGAGAATACTCGAAAGAATTCTGGCAACGCAATGTGGAAATGAAATAACAATGTCAAAGTATGATCTGTTGAAATTGATTTCAGGTAAAAAAAACGACACGTTAATAGGTAACTTATGAAAGGTAAAATGTATATGGAATATTCACGGATTTCATGGTTGTTAACAGGTTATTGTCAAAGTGTAGTTTATTCAAGGCATTTGCCTGATATTCATGGTGGTTAATATCTTAGCTGTATTACATAAATTTAATTACCGATATTCAGAACAGTCAAACAATTATCAAAGATCAGGTTTTATGACTAGACAGTCAAATTTGGCACATTTTGGATGGGTGCTTAGCCGAATGTTAACCCTGCAAATAGAAATACGGTAATACAAAGTAGGAATGCAAAATTTGACAACCAACTCACCCCACTCTTCATATTCTCTTCCCTCTTCATAATCATCATCATCACCAACTTCATCAGACAATACATCCATCCAACGATGGCTTTCATTTCTTGAAATAATCAATAAAAGAGGATATTGTCATGTCTGACATTTTTTGGAAGTCTGCGGAGCAGATGTCATGGATTCACCAAAGATCATGATTAAATGTCAAAGATCTTGAATTGGCAAAGGTCATGAGTAATTAGTCAAAGGGTGTGAGTAAACTGTCAAGTAAATGGTTAAAGGTAGTGAGTAAATGGTCAAAGGTCGTTATTAAATGGACAAAGGTCATTAGTAAATGGTCAAAGGTCGTGAGTAAATGTCAAAGGTCGTGAGTAAATGGTCAAAGGTTGTGAGTAAATGGTCAAAGGTTGTGAGTAAATGGTCAAAGTTCGTTAGTAAATGGACAAAGGTCATTAGTAAATGGACAAAGGTCATTAGTAAATGATCAAAGGTTGTGAGTAAATGGTCAAAGGTCGTGAGTGAATGGTCGAAGGTTGTGAGTAAATGGACAAAGGTCATTAGTAAATGGACAAAGGTCGTGAGTAAATGGTCAAAGGTCGTGAGTAAATGGTCAAAGGTCGTGAGTAAATGGTCAAAGGTCGTGAGTAAATAGACAAAGGTCGTGAATAAATGGACAAAGGCCGTGAATAAATGGACAAAGGTCGTGAATAAATGGTCAAAGGTCGTGAGTAAATGGTCAAAGGTCGTGAGTAAATGTCAAAGGTCGTGAGTAAATGGTCAAAGGTTGTGAGTAAATGGTCAAAGGTTGTGAGTAAATGGTCAAAGTTCGTTAGTAAATGGACAAAGGTCATTAGTAAATGGACAAAGGTCATTAGTAAATGATCAAAGGTTGTGAGTAAATGGTCAAAGGTCGTGAGTGAATGGTCGAAGGTTGTGAGTAAATGGACAAAGGTCATTAGTAAATGGACAAAGGTCATTAGTAAATGGACAAAATTCATGAATAAATGATAAAAGTTGATCAAGTAAATGGAGAAATGTTATGAGTAAATTGACAAAGGTTATGAATTTATGGTCTAAATTCTGATAACAATGATCACAGTGAGTAAAAATATTGTTAATGAATCATTACTTACTGTTCAGCACAGTTTAAAAGAATCTCTCTTTCTTTCTTTCTGTAGTTTTCTAACAACACCAGGAGAATCAAGTTATTGCAATTCATTGGTACACCATTTTTCAGCTTGGGATAATCTTCAGCTGTCTGAACAACGCGGGCCTGTAACATATTACGCAAACAATGGTCTTCTACAACAAAGTTAGCATTCCTACGGGATGAGAACAAAAAACTGGCGTGAAGAGGAAGACCGTAGAAATAAATGAAATATATGTATCATATATATGCCTAGACATGTTCATTAAGTTAAAGCGAGGGAGTCGTCACATGCGCATGCGTCAGATTGCCATAGCGTGTCATTGTTTACAAACAAGCGTCTACCCATGAGCCTTCGCTTTTTTAGCATGTGTTGTTATCATTGCTTGGTTCTCAAGCGCAGGTGACAACCTTACCGCTTTAAGTGATAATTGAATAAGTTAAGTTAATAAATGAATGAATAAATAACAAAAATGTCATAGACCTTACCCTTTTTTTCTTGCAATCAACAGTAGATCAGTGAATAGAAATAAATAGATGGGTTTTTGTATGGGTTTGACACTGGAAATGAATTTCTTTTCATAACGTATTTCAGTCAGCTCTCCTTTCTTAACAAGCCATCTGGAAGCTGAAACCAATGCTAATTGCTGCAAGCAAGAAAGAACATAAAGATAATAAATTGAAATATTTTGCCGCCATATACAACGTACTACTACAATCAATGTCTGGTCCTCTGTACCAAATAAACCTAGTCAAAATGTTTAGCCTTTTAGTTTGGTAGGGGTGTGCGGCCGGGACAGTCAGAAAATTTATTCAGTTATAGGTTGAATTGTTGATGACTTCACTACACATGCGCAATGTTCGTAGCACTGAAACACATTGCATTGTGGGCTCATTACCGGGATGAATGATGGCCAATCGTTGCAAACTTCGACGATCTGCTACATGAAAATATACCACTAAAAACTCAATAGAAGTACTAAAACCCGGATAAATACATGGAAATTAAAAAAAAAAAAAACATCCGAGACCGGCAAAACTGATATTGGACCAAAATTCAAGCAAAACATCTAAAAATTACGACCCCAAAGGATGGCACGTCCCCATAATGTGTTTTGCATTAAGTGCCCCATTAAGTGTGTGTGTGTGGGGGGGGGGGTGAAGGCCTTCATGACAATAATCTACAAGGTAAACATACCTTATGCATCTTCAGCTGTTTTTCGATAGCCACCATTTCAAAGATACGCTCTATTTTTCTGGCACCCTCATTACATTCTCGCACCACTTTAGTTGCAGCAACGAATGCTGATTTGGCAGAGTCATAACACTCGGTGCCCTCCTTCGTTCGGTGAAAAATATTCTGAAAAACAAATACATGTAATAATTTACAAAGTTTATGTATAAATTGCACTATACTACCTGTCTTATAGGTTTTTTTGCCTGGATTTTATTTGTATGTTTTATCTAATTTTTTATCTGTCTGTTCTACTGCTCTAAGATTTCGCATTTCCTTTCTCAGGTTTCCTAATCTACATTCAAAAATTTGTCGTCTATACTTTCTCAGATTTCTCGTCTACTTTTTCCGATTTCTCATTTACTTTTTCCGATTTTTTACCTACTTTGTCACAATTCTCATCTACTTTCTCAGATTTCTCATACATTTTACAATGCATGCAATCTGGTTGCCAGGAAGTGACATCACAGGGGCAAAGGTCTTACCTGAACAAGCAATGGCAGTCTTGTGATTCTCTGCATAGGCAGTGTTAGAAATGATGAGAAGGTCTGATTTTCGCAGACAGGATCTTTCTCCAAGGATGTTATTAGATCAGAAAAATCTGAGTCCTTGGTCCTAGAATCAGAAAGTCATTACAAATGTAAAGAAATTACAAAATATATGGTCCAAAAGGGCTGACCATTAGACATATAAACATCACTTTTGATGCAGTAAAATATGTATGACCGGTGGTCATTTTTGGTGTAAAATAGGCCTCAACATTTGAATGTGTTCCAAATCAGTTCTCAGAGATGACCACATGGGCCTATTTCAACCAAACATAGTATAATGACAATACACACTGGGTATAGACAGTCAATAATATTGCATGTTTTTATTTCTCTTAAGATTCAATTCAAGATGGCACCTGGTGGCTGTTTTGTTTTTCTTTAGCTTAATTCTCATCTCAATCTGCGCACTGGCATCCACTGCATTGAATCCTAAAACTTGAATGTGTCCATAATCCGTTTTCAGAAATGAAAGGACTAGTTTTGATCGAACTTAGTATGACGATAATGCAGATGCATTTTTTGCAAGATCTGATTATCTGGAACATCATTGTTTTAAACCTTCACTTTTAAGCTAATTTCAGGGACGTTATGAATAGGTGATTTTCCGTACAATTGCGAGATCTCGCGAGATGCATGAAAGACACGCGTCGAACGTCTGCTGCAAAAATCGAACGATTTGATTTTGAACTAGAATTTCTTTATTTCGCAGCTTACATTGACCGGCCGATCTTCGACAGAGGAATATTGCTTTCGAATACCCTTACTTTATAATCGAAATTGCCTATCATCAAATGTGGACAGCACATTATTAAGCATGGAAATGTCCCCGAAATACTTTCGCGTTTGTCGAATCCCACGCGATGTTTGACGCGACTACGACGCTATGACCTTTGTTTGTCCTGTTTTTACGTTCGATTTCACGCATAACGCGTGATTCTCGCAGTGAACGGAAAATGGTCTATATAAACATGTCCATGAATTATTGATGGTGACTACTGGTATGTCATTTTTTTCAATATATGTTTTCTATGAGACAAACCCCTAACTGCAAAGTAGCTGTTTTAGTGACAAATAGTAGATCAGAGAGTCAGTATTTATTTAAAAACTGATGTCATGGTTACCTTAATTCTGTAATAGTTCTTAATTGCTGGGAGTGATTACTGCAGTATACCACATAGCAATGCAGAAGTTCTATCGCATATTTTTCAATGATATCACACACATCAGACATTACTATGCTTTCTTCTTGTCTAGCTTCCAACTCCATCAAAAACCTGTAAACAAGTTGTATTAAATGTGTATAGTTCTAAAATAAGAACGACCCACTGCCTATTGTGGCATTTTGAGTAATCAAGTACAGGTACAACTTGTATGTGTGCAATGATTGGCAAGAAATAGTGAATTTTATGGTTGTCAATATTCAAAAGAAATGCTGGAATTAGAATTTTCTGAAATGTTCAAACAATGTACAAGAACCAGGAGTCAAATTGTCAAATTTGAGGCATTTCCATAAGAATGGGTGATATTTAAGTCAAAATTGGCTCCAAAAATAGAAATCCCCCAGTAGTGGGGTGGGATGTAGGCAATCTGATTAAAATCTGAGGTAGGTATGAGGCTCTTATTTTTTTTTAAGAGACGACTGGAACACAATTTTTTATCAATGAAAAGTGAAATCAAAAGAATGAACATAAACAAAAATATGAACACTAGTAAATACTATATAAAGGGTCATAAAATAAACATTAAAAAAAAATTGCAGCCTCATGCCTACATTGGATTTTAATCAGACTGGAGGGTTGGGTGGGAGTTTAGTCCAGTATGGGCACTAATTAAGTCATACATATATGGATACATACCTACTTAGCGAATAGAAGGATCAAACAAAAAAAATCAAGTGACTTACTTTTCACTGATATCTCGGATATCTTTAATGTTTGAAAATATAAATCGTCGCTGGAACTCTTGCATATTTGGAACACTTCCCATAAAATGATCAACAAAAACGTTCAGACTGCGTAGATAAGATGCTTCTGAAGAAATCACCTCAAACATGGACTGAAAAAAAAAAGAGATGAAATCAATGGAGAAATCTGTTTTTGAGATTATATAACCATGGTATAGAATTCTCAAAAATAAATTGCTAACAGTAAGAAGGACCTTTTCATCACCAGACTTTCTTGCCCAAATTATTCTCTTCTTTTTTCTTATATTCTTCAAAATTTTTCGAAATAAATCTTGATTTTGGAGCTGACAGCCATGAATTTGAGTAAATTTTCAGTTTTTACTCAAAAAATTTGGCTATTTTTGTACCAGTCATATGAAGGAAAGTGCAGACTATAAATGGGACTATTTTGTGAATTTGTGATGAAAAATGGGAACTGGTGGTGAAAAGGTTAAGCGACAACAGCTGTAATTAGAGGTATTTTTTCTTAAAATTTTATTTTAATAAAACATTTTGCAAAGGCCATCGCCGAAAAGTGGACACTGAAAACATAGCATATATGTACATACCGTCATTGTACATTAAATCACTTGGAATTGAAAAAAAGATGGCTGCATGGTATATGAATCTAGTTTCGTCTAGTGACAACTTACCAGAGGGCACTACACATATATCAAAAACTTAACCAGATCAAAGGACTATTAAAGCTACTCTCTGAAGTCCTCTCACTGATTATTTCTCACAAATGTGTGCATCGTGTGTCATGTTTTTACATGCCCCCCCCCCCCCCATCACTTGACCAATTTCAATGAAATAACTACTATACTCCCTGTAGTTTTAATATTGCATTTTATGTGATTTAGACTTGCCCATGCAATTATTTCTGAAACAATATTAAGGTAAGACTTGGTCACGTTTTTGTGGTTATATGTAAAAAAAATGTAATTATCTCAAAGCTGATACATAAAAAAGAAAATGAGAGAGTTAAACAGCACAGAACCCAAAAAACATTCTCCTCTGTTGCAATGACTGAAGACATCTGAACAATGTCAACTGAACAGAATAAAAATATGGCAAATTTCAAGAAGCCATCAATGCTCTTAATGGAAATTTATGAAAGATTTTCCCTGTTAGAACCTTTCATTTCACTCAAATACAAAAAATATGCTTTCATTGGGTATAGATGCTATTTGGTAAGCTAACACCATGGCTTTTTGTGGGTTTCCTTCTATTATTGATGGATTTAATGAATTCACATTGTGATTAGAGTTGTTTCCAACAGTCAAATGAAATTTATAAAACTAATACATTTTTTTTTTATAAAAAAACATTTATGCCTTCATGTAACTCTCTGTAACTTTAACGATAATGTCTAAATTTGATAATGATAATGTCTTAATTAGATAACGATAATGTCTAAATTAGATAACGATAATATCTAAATTAGATAATGATAATGTCTAAATTAGATAACGATAATGTCTAAATTAGATAATGATAATGTCTAAATTAGATAACTATAATGTCTAAATTAGATAACGATAATGTCTAAATTCAAATGAGAATCTATATACCTCCTGATGCTTGATTTCATTGGCGTTCATTTCATGCAAAACTCCACTTTTACGCACTTCGGACAACTCTTTCCACATTGTCCTCTGAAATTTCTTAATAGGCCTGCCACTGTCATCGTCTTCAGGCACCGCTTTCATTGTTGATACTTGTAGTTTCCTTGTAGCTTTTTGGCGTTTGTCATCTTGGTATACCTGGAACATAGGAGCTACAAAAAAACAAAACAAAATAACACGGTTTTGTATTATTTTTTTAATGTAACCACCAACATTTAAAAAAAAATGTTGTCAGAATACAGTTTATTGACATGGATACCATGAAACGGCTGTGTTTTCTTCCCCTTCAACAAAGTCGCATTCATTAGTGAATGAATCTCGGCCAGTGGAATTGGCCTTCCCATTGAATCTGTGGCACACTCACCCAGGGTAGGGGTTGACACTTCAGCCTGAGGTAGGATTTGAACTTGGGTCTACCGATCATGATTTTGCTAACACAATAGCAATAGTGATATCAGCTTACCATTACAAACTGTCACATTTGATCTATTAAAAATATTACTATTTTTTTGCAAAACAGTGAGCTACATGTATAGCATCTTGAAACACAGGTTCAAAACAATGATTATAATTGAACAAGCACACAAAATTCCCCTCCCAATAAATTACGCTAAATTGAGTGACTGTCATGAACCATAACAAATATATTTAATAACAAACCTATATTAAGGTACCGTGACTGGTTTCGTCCTCGCTGCGGTAGAGTCTGTGGTGAATCAAACAAAGATACAAAAATGTAAACCAAAAACACAATACACACTAATGGATATAACCAAACCCCAAAGTTGAAAACTGGAATCCGTTCAATTGCTTCTGATATAAATTAGCAGGATTGAAATTAAGTGGTGGTCCTACCGAACCCCACAGTTAATAGTTAGAAAAATTAATCAAGTCGAGTGAATTTAAGCCCCACTGACAAATTCACATGATATTCCTGTCCCTTACCCAACGACGCCAATTTCACTAATTTTACTACGTACAATTTCACTATTTTCTAGGAGCCATAAAATAACATTTTCCACTTGATATTGCTAACATATTCTTGGACATACTCTTATCTGTTTCACTGATAGTAATCTCTGCAATTCAATAATTTCAGGGCATTTGATTAAAATTCTCAAAAGTCACTATGAATATTAACCCTCATTTTTGTGCAATAATATGTCACATATTTTTGTAAATGTTTCTATAATTGACAAAATGGTCATCATTATTTTTCTTGGCTATGGGTAATGATGAATAAATTTGGAATAAATTATGTGGGTTTTGTACAAAATATTACATTAAAAGGGAAAAAAAAAAATATCTCACCATATTAAGGTAGTTTTATATTAAGGTATAAAGTTAGTTGGCTACCAGTAAAACATATATTAAAACAAGGTCCAATCACAGTGTAATGATTACACTGATTTTTTTCCCAATATTTTTGTGTCAGGTGAAATTTCTAGACTTTGAATAAGTCTCTCTAGATGTTTTTTTTTGTCTAAGGTTCTAATTGCAAGTGCTTGAGTGTGATGAAAAGAGGGAACTGGTGATGAAACGGTCAATAACGCATGACTGGAAAGAAGGACCAACTGTACTCGCATTTATACCACTGATTATACAGTCATGAGCTCTGGGAATTGAATCCAGAACTCCCTTCAAGATGCGAGGTGAACACGCTATAACTATTGTAGCATCGCCCAGGTTTTCGTGACACTGAAACTGATATATAATATAATGGACAGCATTCCATACCTGGCTTATTTTCTGGTTTGTAGGGCTTTCATCATGACCAGGAAATTGGTTGACACTTGATGAATCGGATGTCCATCCCAAACTAGAACTGAGACTGCTTCCTCTTGGAGGACATTGCGGTGATAACATGTTATTATCCATGATATTTAAAAAGACATCATCATTGCCGATTTCTTGTTGTTGATCAAAAGAATGTACTATTTTAGGGGGTGAAGGCCTTGTAAATACTGGGTTCACTTCGTATACACATGTCTGGTTCTTAGGCACATGTAAAGATGTCTCCTCCTTTGGTTGTAATGTATCTGTCGTATGCTTGCTTGCATTAAGTTCGTCAATGGCATCTGGTTCGACGTAACTACAGTCAGAATCAGTAGAATACCTGGAGGAACCATCATTAGACTCATCGTTGTTTGAAAGTTTTGGTTTATTTTCTGGTTTTGGAGGTCTTGGAGGTCTTGGAGGTAGTTCAATGTTAACATAGGTCCTTTGTTGTCTTGCTAGTGTCAATTTCTGCATAGATATTGGTTTTGTTTCTGTGTTTGTCTGATTTAGAAAAGCAGCGATTTTCTCATAATCATCCTCACTGTCAATCCCCTCGACAGTTTCCATATCAACATAAATATCATCGTCTTTTTTGGCTTTAATCTCCGTTTTTCTACGGACAGTTTTCCTAGTGGTGGTAGTTGTAGTAGTTTTGACATGAATAGTGACACCGTCCTTAGCTTTTGTTTGTTTTCTTGTGTTAATATTGTGTTCTTCAACAACTTTTTGGTACTGGACGTCATCATCAGCCTCACTGACTGGTGTGACATTGGCAGACTTGTTCTGTTTCTTTTTCTGTGAAAACTTTTAGAAAAGGGAACATTTAGCATTTAAGAATTTTAAATGTATTGAGAAGAAACACAGCTGTGTCAAATCTACATCATTATAATGGAAATATCATATCTGGGATGACAAATCATGATAACAAAAATCTTTATGGACTGGATATGGCTTTTGCGACCCGAGGTCGGCGAATCCATAACAGTTTTATCATATACCTTATAGGTGCAATTACAATTCTATCCCGGTGCGACCTCTAACACATGACATAATTTAAAATGATGCATTTTGTTTTGATTGATGAAACCGGTTGCGCTGGGACGGGCGTGATATGGGAAATTATTGTCCTTATGTGAGGGCGCACTTCCCATAGCGTTTCAAAGCTGGACAATACAAGGTATATGATAAAGTTGAAAATGTCTGAATTGAGCAACTGTAACAGGTAAAAATTTTCAAGTCAAGTATAATACAGAACAAATAGGAAGAAAACCTTTAATTAGTATGCAAATTAGCTAATTAATATGCACATATTAATTAGAAGCTGTTATTAGATTTTAATTATTTTACACAAATGGTAACCATTACATGCATACAAACAAACAAACAGATTAACAGACATCAGTATTAGACCCAACAAAAAATTGTTTTGTTGCCCTCAGCGACCGAAACCGAGAAATATGATATATCAAGTTTTTTTCTTTTTTTAATAGGCCCAAATATTAAAAACTCACCATTTTAAGCAGTAAAAAAGTGTTTCTTTTAAAAATTAAGGATCCCGGACCGTTGTTTGAGTCCTCGTAAGTGGTGACCGATCCAATTTTTTCAATTTTTCGACTAGAGGGCAACATAAGTTTTTTTTTTTTTGGCCTTATTTGGTGTTTTGCATACATAGTAGCTAAAAAATTGAATTTACTGATTTGGATTATTAAAAATAAGCTTATTTTGTCATTTAGGATAAGCTCATTTGCTACTACCGGTACATGTAATAGAGCAAATACAGTTATGCCATGCCCACTTAATCATGCAAATTCTTGATATTAAAGTGCGATGTGAACCAGGTATGGATGGATAACCACCCAGCCTACAAATGAAACATTTACATATCTAAACCTACCTCTTTCAATCTGCCTGCTGCTAACTTTGCTTTTCGTTTCTCGCTGTGTCTCCTTGCATGCGCTATTACATTTGTCCTGGGAAAACAAAATGTCAGTGATATGAATAAAGCTATAATACTGGTATGTAAATTATGAGCTGCTTATTAACATGCACAAAATAGCTTTCAGAACATATATTATCTTACCCAATTGATTGGGCTTTTTTCTGGTCCTTAATTACATCTTCCCAATCAGCCTCACTGCTAGAACTACCAGGTCTAGGGGATTTCTCTGGTTCAGTCAGTTTAGTGTTTTGGTCTTTCTGCTGTGATTTGATCAGTTTTGGAGGCAGTACTGGAGGCACTCTTTTCACAGGTACCACTGGAACAGTCTTAGCAATAACATCATCAACTTTCGCATTTGTGCTGTCCTCGCTGTTTTCATGCTTTACGAGAACTTCAGGTTTCTTTTTTTCGGGCAGTGATATTGGTTTTTTTTTTGAATTATACCTCCTAGGAATACCGACTGTTGGTTTCACAATAACCACAGGTTTTTTAATCGGTTTTAATGGAACAGCCGGTCTTGGCCTATCAGGAATCACGACTCTCCCTGTCACTCGTTTACCAACTGACGGCTTCTTAGCAACAACAGGTGGTTGCTTGGACTTTGATTTGAGGGTCAGTGTCTTTGTAGTCTCCTCATCTGCAGTTACAGGGCATTCAACAACTACATTTCCTTTTCTTGTTCGAGGAGCAGGAATTGGTTTGCGTTTTGATAGGTCCAATGCCATTATTGACAAGTTTATTCTTCTAAAAAAAAAAAAAAAAATATAAAAAAATAGTACGCACAAAATGAATATCCCATCAAAAATGCATATACTGTAGAATACTGTATTTTCACTTGTAATTTATTTTCGCTGAGGGAATGATTCAATGAAAATAAAATGCAGCGATTATGCCTTTTTTCCTGTATTTTACATTCAACTTGTCAAAAATCAGTGAAAATAAATTCCATACAAAACACCCAAAAAGTTTTTTCAGCAAAAATTAATTCCAGCTAAAATAAAGTATTTTACAATACAGAAAACAATACTAGTTTTTATAACTTACCAATATACATATAGTAACACAGTATAAGCGACATTTGGCATTTATATGTCCAGCATTACGTGTACAGCTAGCCATTAATAGACGATTGTGCTATCCACACAGTACTTCATAGTTACACACCTTTGATATTAAAAAGGCATCTGAATCTCAATTACAGCTACACACAGTGAATTATAAAGAAGGAAATACTGAATAAAATACCTAAAATAGGATCTACTGTTAACTGCATGCCCACGCATTAAATGTTTCTGAGAAACTTCCGAGTAACCTGTCATTGTGCTCCATAAAAAAAGTTAAAAAAAACATTATGACGTCATCAGTTGTTTACTAGGAAGTAAAGTGTTAATAACAAAAATGGGCCCACCTTTTTTCTGAATACAATATCCCTTTGTAATGTACATTAAAGCGTGGTGGTCGTCGCGCAGCAGCGCGTGTTGGAATTTCATGTAAATAAACAATGTATTTTACACGCATTGTATACGTCGCTATGAGTACTATATCAAACACCAAGCAGCGCGGCGACTGCCGTCCTTTAATTTAAAAGCTTTAGCATACTTTTCATGAATGTTTTTATTTTAAAGCATGGAAATTTACCGCCCTTTGAACAAAAACGCAACTTTTTTCTAAATTCTCTCTAAAAATCTTTATAACATCTTTAATTAAGTCTAATTATTAAAAAACACAGAACAATGAACAAACAAAATTATAGTGGAGTCAAACGTAATTGCATTATGACTCAGTGAACACGAGTGTCAGTAATAAAACTGGTCCACATTTTTCACCTTTGCAATGTACACATGAGTGGGCGAACAAAGCCATTGTGTATATGTGGGCTATATATAGAGATTGTAGAATTCCCCCTCTCTATTGCGCAATCTAGCATACCTGGTCAGGCAGGTCATCCGTAAGGTATACGTACGTGTACAAATGTTGCAGGTCACATTTCAAAGTATATTTTTCTTAACGATATTACCTGCAAGCCATAAAACTAGAAAAGAGTATGAGCAAAAATTAAGTCAAATATATGACTTAATTTTCACGCGCGATGTAGACACACCCTAATATAGTAAAATAGTGCGTGTCTACATCGGATGTTAAAATTTGCATATAACATTAGCGCGTAACAAAGATTGTGATAAAGGAAAGAGTGGTATAAACAGAGATCAGTGATTATTTGAAATCGATACCAGGAAAAGGGGAGGGGAAGAATAGATATATAACATTTTATTATTTAATAATTTATTAAAATACATAAGTTTGTCCAACTCCCTGTGGTACTACCTGTACTATTTGTCATGTGTTAACTCATTGGTCCCCCCAAAAAAATCTTCTCATAAAATTCTTAGTATTAAAAGAACTTGGTTTATTATAAATGTCTTGAGCACATTTTCAAATAATGACACACAATGTATAGACCAGTGGTCAATTCCAATAAAAAGACTTAAGAGTTGGCCTTTCTCGTCTCCACTAGTGTATTTTCCATTTCAAAATGTATGAAATTTAGTTGAAACATTATTCCAAATTTTAAAACTAAAGAAACAAATTTTATATCAAAATAAACAAATGCCGATAATCTGCGCATCTTTATTTGATCCTAATATGGTAATTATATAATTTGCATATTCATTAATATTATAATTTATTCAAACACGCATTTACACAATACATTTAGTCTTTCAGAAAAAAGATATAAATGTAGAGTGAAAATAAATCTGCCATTATGTTTCCATAGCAACCACCTGTTAAATAACAAACCCATAAAATACTTGTATATAACTTAATGCATTGCATGCGGTATCACTAGATGATATATAATGAAAATAGCAGTGAAAATTAAAGTTTACAGTATTTCCGTAATCAAGAATATATCGATACACAAAAATACACAATATATTGTGTTTAAATGATAATTCATCCAAAAAGACGTGAATTGAATGGATAAAAAATTAACTATTGAGATACACATTGACATATACCTTATAGTCAAATAATGTATGGGAGAAAGGTTAGTATGTTTAATACTCAGTGTTTTAACAGTAACTAGGTAATTGTTTCAAAAATCTCACAGTGTACTACAGCCGGAGAAGAACAGAAATTAGACTAGCTCTGAGCTGGTTTAAAACTAACCTAACTTGCTTTTAAAACTGCCACAATTGTGTAGAGTACTCTTGAAAACATATCTCATATTAGTAATACGACAAAGAATTTTAAAGTTGAAATCATTGATGACAAAGATACTCTCTTTAAAAATTAAAATTTTTTATGAAAAAGCAACGCCACCTGATAGCCAGCTGTGAGGGAAGGTACAGACAGACAAATGCAGAAGTAGAATATACTGTATTTAAATGAAAATTTATTTCAAATATTTATCTGCATATATGTAAGAGCAATTACTAAAAATACTTCCTGATAAAATGAATAAACAAAATTTTGGACTTAACCCTCTCACCAGCAGGAAATTGTTCTGCACTTTTTTCCTGTATCCTTAAATATTTCTGGAATGAATCATAATTTTGGAGTCAACAGACAAAATTTTAGTAAATTTTCAGTTTTTGTGTGCAAAACTATAAAAATAAACTGTCTATTATATCTTTGATCGTATGTTAATGCATGTCTCGGCATAATGAACTTATGAACAACGCACATACTAGGATTTACAGTGCCTACACATATTAATATATATCTGGTATATATTTATACAACACAATAGCTAATAGAATAACAATATATTAATTATCAAATATTATGACAGAACACCATGGCATTACCTTAACGTTTGTTTACACCCTGCACAATTCAAGGGCTTACCAAAATAAAAACAATATATTGTAGAATACTTTATTTTCGCTTGGAATTTATTTTCGCTATTTTCCCTGAAGGAATGACTCCGTGAAAATAAAATCCAGCGAATATACTTTTTTTCCTATATTTCACAATAAACTCATCAAAAATCAGTGAAAATAAATTCTAAGCAAAACGCCCAAAAAGCTTTTTCAGCGAAAATTAATTCCAGCGAAAATAAAGTATTCCACAGTATTATAATGCACCGCCATTGCATGAGACATGGCAACATTATTTTAAAACATTAACAATGACATCAAAGAATATGCACGTATTTCAAATATACATCGAGTTCCGACATCCAGAGTTTCGACTCGCGTGATTTGCACATCAGTCGTTAAATAACATATTAATTTGCATATCGCCAAGCAACAAGTATACTTTCACGGGTGCAACAAAGTAAACTGCCGTGATAACTGCCATGATTTCGTCAGATACGATTTACTTATACAGTTATTCTTAAAAAGCGCTTTACCTTGTTTATATCAGAACTAGATGTTACGTCGTTAAGTACTGGTATAGCGTACGTACAGACACCAACACATGGAGGTCAAACTATAAGTTTCTGTTTGAACTACAAAATGTATATCCGAACAGAAACTATAATTAGCCAATAATAGCAAATGACTGACTATTATCATGAAGTTAATCAATCACTCATGATCAATATGTTTTGATAATAGGGTGTTATAAGAGGTGATAAGCTATATGTATGTAACATTCTGTATCTGCTCTATTAGAAATGTATCTCCAGTAGAAGTGCTTATATATTATTGCATTTGGTAATCAATTATTAAATATCAATGAAACTAGGGGAACAAAACTGAGAACATACAAATTATTCAAAGTAAGTTATAATATGGAAAATTATTTGCAAAACATTTCAAATTTCAGCCTCAGGAAAATGCTTAAAAAATTCGGTCTGAGTGACCACAACTTAGAGATAGAGTTAGGTAGAAGAACAAAGCCCAAAATAGAATTAGAAAGTAGACACTGTAAAAAATGTAACACTGAAGCATTAGGAGATGAAAAACATATATTTTGTACTGGCTATATAGAACAAAGAAAAAAACTGTTTGATGAGTGTTCAATAAATATTTACACAATGGATGTGAATTCCATATTTAAAAAGATTATGGAGAATAACATAGCTTCAGGAAAATACTTAAAGAGCACAATTTTTAAAACCACAGAAAGTAATTAATTTATTTTTATCTCTTTAGTATTGTATGTTTTTTGTATTTCTTTGTATTTATGTTCCTTACCATACAAAAACCCTCGAAAGGTTTTTAGTAGTGTAATAAAGTTATTATTATTAAATTACCTCACCTTAGAGGACATAGTTTCAGGTCAAATTGTGAAAAAATCATGGCGGAAATTGCTTTGGAGTTTGCATTTGATCGAAAAAATTCCATGACTTTGATAATGATAAAGATGTTGTTTTAACTGTTTTCCTATACCCTAATAATTTTTAACCATAAATTTAGATGGTATGTCAATAATAGTTTTTGTGAACATTTTTCTTTCTCCATTGTGAAAATTCTGTGGAAATCAATATCGCTGCAATATATTTTGCAATCATGATTTATTTTTAAAAAAAAAAAAACACACAATACTCCTTTTCTTCTGGTGTGGTGAAAAACAATTTTTCATAGATAATTGTTCAATGTTAAACAAAACAAAAAGTCTTTATCTTTTTTTTGGTGGCCCTCGTGTATATGCAAATTTACCTTGCTCATAAGATACTCACAAGATTTTATGCAAAGTAATCTAGGGAAATAGGGGAAAAAGTTGTCCAAAAACTGAAACAGAAAAAAGAAATTACTGTAAAATACTTTATTTTCACTTGGAATTAATTTTCTCTATTTTCGCTGAAGGAATGATTCAGTGAAAATAAAATCCAGTGAATATACTATTTTTCCTATCTTTTCAACATTCAACTGGTCAAAATCAGTGAAAATAAATTCCATACAAAACACCCCAAAAGTCCTTTCAGCGAAAATTAATTCCAGCTAAAATAAAGTATTGTACAGTAGATGTAGGGGGCAATAGTGTAGGAAATTTCCTGCATAATTACCAGGCATTATTTTATTACATTTTTATTTGTGTATATCTGAACGTTTTAGTATAATTGTAATGTTAGTCTAAGAATTTTATCTATGCAAGCGATGATATTTCAAACTTTTGTATAAATTATCACTTCAGATGCACTGTCATTTACATAAATGAATATGCTAATAATGAATACAGTATATAGATTAGGTCACCAAACAAAGCTCCTTATAAGGAAATACATAATTAAGTAGCTTATAGCCACATGTTACAAAACCTATCAATAACAAATGACCTCTGTTGCCCTTTTCATCATTATTTTCAAGTAAAAAACATTGAATTTCCCAGTAAAACCTTACACTTAAAAAAGACAAAATATGGGAGATAAAAACTGACATTTTCAAATTAATTGGACAAATTAAACAATTGAAATAATGGAATATATTAAGCATGATCAACTCGGAACTTTGTATTTACGGACTTGCTGAAAATGTGACCATTACTTCACTGCAACCAACTGACAATACAATAAGGTGATACAGGATAATTGATGAGGAGTCTGCCAGTGTGTGGAACACTGGTACTTAAAGCTTTCAGCCTCCAGAAATCCGTGTGAACAATTCTAGTTGGTTTTCAGCCTAAAAAATGATATATCGGTATTCCTGAGAACATTGATACTCATGCACTTACATGACCTAAACGCTGGGCAGATACAGACTGTTGCCTTAGTAAGGTCAATTGTTACAATGAAAGTGTTTCATATAACGCCACACACCCAGATACATTCAGAGAATTTTGGTGGAAACATTTTTAAGATTTGAAATTGTCATTTGCAAACATTTTACAGCTACTGTAGAATACTTTATTTTAGCTGGAATTAATTTTCGCTTAACTAATTAACTTTTTGAGTGTTTTATATATCATCATCCCTTCCGTGGAAAATAAAGTATTTTACAGTAATCAGCATGCATGTGTTTGTGAAGACTTGTGACTTGTTGAAAAAAAAAAGTATGAAAATTCCTCATGGCAGAAAGGTACAGTTCATGGGAATTTTTTATTTGCGTCTGAGTTGAATATATATATATAGAAATAACAAAATGACAAAACAAACCGGCTTTTCGTCAGTTGGTAATTGATATAGATATAGACATGAATGATTGGACGTATACATTTTTGGGAATACGGTTATAGATCCAGTACGAATTAGAAAGACTTTAATCAGATTTAATCAGATTGGGCTTACATGCACTTCTAATAGAACAAATAAGGTAGTTGCTTTTTCTTACTTTTTTAAAACCTGTAATACCGCTGATAAACCCAGTTTCATGTGGAACTTGAAGGCAACTTAAGAGATGTCTACAAAAATTAGTGAAGAAATCAATCAAGCAAACTGACCATTTTTCATACATTTGTAATTAACAACATTAAAATAATGATTTACAGGGAATTATCAGTGAATTTAAGAAGAATTAAGAGAAGTGACTTAGATCAAACAAATAATCAAGAAAAGCACAAATTCAAGGTGGATTCAGTCACTAACCAATAGAAAAGAAACAATCAGTAACTTATTCTCATACTGGGCAAGATTACGACACGACAATTAAAGTTTCAATACTAACCATAATATCCCTAAAAAATGAAACTGAACTAAATGGAAAAGGACAGTGGAAAGGTATGATAAGACAAGACTGCAAAATTGCAAGACTGGAAAAACAACCCAAACAAAGACAATGACCAAAATATTAACAATCAACTTAAAAATAATTTACACTATCTGAAATCAATTGAAAAATTAAAATTAGGAGAACAATTACTAAATTAAGGTAGCGGGACTATTATTTGCATACTTGTTTTCATCTTCTAATTGTGACTAAATGACTACAAATAGACCCAGGAAAGTATACATTTTTAGAATCGCCAGACTTCAAGCTTTTCACAAGTGTATTTTGCATGCCCGTATCTGCATTCTACGACGCGTTACTCAATCAAAGGTGAAAAATTACTTTTTCTGTAAAAAAAATAATTACGCATTTATGCTGACGGTAAGAAGTATTTTTTTCACTTTTCCTAGTTGTTCAATAGTCTCAATAGTCTGGTAAATTGAATGTGTCTGGTCAGTTTTATTCAAGCAACGCGTTTTAAAAAATAGTATGCTGAATTTCAATTACTGTTTTAGTCGCATTGCCCCCAACTCAAACCACAACTCGTTGGTAAATAATCGATGAAATAGTTTGTCTGGACACATTCAAGTTCCTCTCATTGTCACCTTAAAGCTGTGAAAATTTGGTGTTAATCTGACGACGATAAGTATACGTTATTTTTTATTAAAGACCTTGTATTTTGAAAAACATAAACTCCTAGAAAACGTCCATGAAGTAACAGCAAAGATTTTTAAGCTTGTTTATCGGCACAATCAATTTGTTTTCCCATCAAGGTCTGTTTTAACATGTGTAGGGACATCCAAATGTGTAAGGCTATTGGAAACCAAAAAATAAAGGAATGGGATAGCTATATTTGGATAAATTCGGCATATGAAAACACCAAAATCAATGATTTTTTTCAGTGGCTGTGTGACTTGTGTCTGACACATTCATATGCAAATGACTAATCTGTGAAACAAACAGGGGCGGAGACAAACCACTCAAATGTTTGGAAACACTCATTGTGTGTCAGATAACTACTGATAACACATCCTAACATTGCTTTGTCTTGAGTTTATCTTTGAAACTTATAGGCACACAGATTAAACCTGTGTTGTTGATTTTGGAAAACACTACTGAGGCTGCCTTGCTTTCCTTCAGAAAATCTACATTTTAACCAACTTACATGACATTCTATGTTATGTTAACTTTATCATATGAAAGTTTATAGTGCATTTCATCAATTAATAAATAAATGTGAAAATCGTAATTTTCAACACAAATAATAGTTTCGCTACCTTAAGATAATTTATCACTTGAACCAAGGGTGTTACAAGCATATCTTTCTCAATGAGATGGCCTGTAAGTTGTGCGACAAAAATAAAATTGGCAATGAAAACCATTATTGCTCAAATGCAAAGATTTCACATACAGACATTTTTTTCGCAATTTTTTTTTTTCTTTTTTAAATTTGATAAACTTAATCAAGAATGCATATATTAATTAAATAAATGAATAAAATAAATAAATGAATATATGAATGAATATAAAAAAAATAGTTCTATGGAAGTTATACAGTGATACTTTCTCGCATAGAAATGCGTCACTTCGGATTCCGTAGTGCGTGAGTTCACTTACGATATCTTCCTGCGTCGTGACAATCGAAGTGGCGGTAAGAAAAGCAATCAAAGAACACCTGTTGACTTTTCGACACACCCATAATTTCTTACAAGTTTATATAGACTGTAAAACAGCATGTGTCTCGCGGATTACAATACACAACATAGAAAAAATAATCATATCGAGTGACAATGAAACACAATATTATTGTTCAAAGTGAAACTTACAGAAATCCATGAGACGGGGTCTTCAAGATTAAAAATGAAATGGACTACAGTGTCAGGTTACTCGCGCGAAGTGTTTACACCATATAATAACTGGTTTACGTGACGTCTTGGTTTGTTTTATCAACATGATGACATCATTCGTTACTTTATTATCTTCAATATCCGGTATTCCAAGAGACGTACTACGAATACTAGTAGACGTGTTTGCGAAAGTACGCTCTGTTGACACTCGGGTCGCGGGAACTAAAAAATGTTACACTCTTATTCTAACGCTGGTGGCGATATACTGTGGGGTCGAATGATTTTGTATGTAATCAGTTGGTGTTTTTATTTCCAGGGTTGAAGTATTACGCAAACTCAGTCATGTGATGCAGTTTTCACACAATGTGAAACGAAACAACATCCCATATATTTTGTTTTTACTTACAAAGAATTCAAAACACTGAATGTTTGTAAGAAACACCGTTTTTCGTGTTACGAGAGTACATTGCGAGATTTTATTTGGTTAATCTGCGCATGCCCAGAGTACATTCAAAGTATACAATGGCGCTAAAGTTTACGTTGGAATTCCGATCATGAATTGTATATCTGTTTTATTGAGGTTCGCATGACATTGACAACGATTTCACATCTGGGCAGGAAGACACACTAAGTTATACTACGGTAAGTCATCGAGTGCTACTATTACGTTTCCCAGTTGGTCGTTAAAGTTTACAGTAAGAATATTTGTCAACTTGAACACCTGGCTTGAACATGTTCGAGCCGGTCAGCTGTTACTTGTCGTGTAACTCGCTGCAGTGCCAGTGATTGTTGAACCATAAGTCCGGGAATACATGTATTTTCAATTCGTATCCACGCATTTTCGAAATTAAGTACATGAGATTCAGTATATCAAGTGTTATACCAAGGCTATCTACAGACGTCTTGCATTAAAGTACGAAGTAATCTTACTATCTGTGCACAGTCCCTCTATCATGAGGGACTGCGATAGGAGGTAATACTACTTGATTACATCAACAAAATTGCCATAACGTACGATTAAATACGATTAAGTGAAACAAGTTTGTACGTACCTGTATGTTGTCATTTATTCACTTTCATATATAAATGTACCTGAATTAATTCTTAGATAAGACATGGTAAATAATGTTTTTCCTTCACTTAGGTATGAGCATGGAACTATAAACCCCATAGTTCCATGGTATGAGCTAGATTTCTTGTTTCATGACATTGCTTTTTTTTTTATTTTCTCTATTGAATGTGTGTGGGATTTTTTTGTTTTTCAAAAATTGTTTGTACACATTTCAAAATCAACCATCTGTCTCAATTACTATTGTACAGCATTCTTTACACATTACAATTGAATGTACAGATACAGATTCTGAAATTGTCTTTTTGAAATATTGTCACTGTTATTTATTAAAAAAAAATGTTTGTAACTAGATTATCTCCTAATGGGCTTTCTCAGCTCACCGAGTTTATGTTCACTTAGTGAAATAACAGGAAAACAACAAATACAGATCTAATCACATACTTTAGGACTCAACTTGTCAGCACCATCACCTCAATTGGAATTCAACCATTATCCTGCAAATCATAGAGGGTGTGTCGTTGTCTTGTGCAACTCTTTCTACAAACATATTGAGAAGTGGGTACATATAGGTTACTTTATTTATGACAAATCATTTAATGGTTAACACTTTTATTGGTTCATAGAAAAATGTTATAATTAGTAAGAAAAAAAGACTAAATGTCATGGAAATGAGACATTTGTCACAGTCAAAATTGTACTAGGTTCTAAGAGATGCAGTAACACAAATACTTTTGAGAATTTTTTTTCTTCACAAATTACCGGCACAGTAGCGAATCGTGAAAATTCATACTTGCGATCTGTTTACAGTAGTTTGAACTTCTAGATATTACAAGTGTAAATTATTCGTGTTAGAATCTTATTCATTCAATCCTACACAATTGTATTGCTTCTGTAATCAACTGTCATTGGTTAACTTTTTTTTATAAAATCTAAAACAGACATGTACTGACAGCACTATACTTGTATAAGTACTTGATTGTGTACATGTAAGTGACGGGAAACCAGATACAGTGAGTCTGGTGTAACTTAACTTTTCAAACTTGCTATCAGCTGACGTTGCCTTCTCATACAAAACATAGTTTTTAAAGTAAGAACCATTGTTATCAATAGTTCCACCATTCTTTGTACCTGGGTAGTACCGTAAAACCTGTATTAGAAGCCGCATCCCTAATAGAAGTCGCATCCATTCTATTTGAATAATTGAGAACCAAAAATTCATCATTTCTCATATGTGTAGATGCTCTAATAGAAGCCGCATCCCCTCTGTTGCATTGTACCATTTTAATAGAAGCCGCGGCTTCTAATACAGATTTTACAGTACTTACCTGAGGTACTCATATGAGACATATTTAGGTATTAGTCGATTACTCGTCACCTTTTAGATATTTGTCAGTTTTTAAAGCAGACTAAGCTGGCTATATTTCAGTGTAAAGCAAACTAAATGTTAAGTTACGCTCTGACTGTACTGTAGCTGTACTTTCTATGGCTGTCTACCTTATTCAGTTGTAAACAGTTATTCATGTATTTGTGGTAACGCTGTTGATGTGATGGAATCGTAGTATGAACACTTACTCTCTAAAAAAAAACACACCCTGTCATGATTGGTGTTGCATTTCCCCCTCAGAAAGAGCACTGTACTACATGTATATTTTTTGCTGTAACTTGTTTTCATCGAAGACTTCATTGTGGTATGTGATTTAGTTTCCCCCGAGTGGTGACGGGTTACACTTGTACTTACAAAATAAACATGTAGAGGCATATGTATTTCTACCGGGTTACATACTTTGTCCCTCCCTCCCTCCCTCCCTCCCTCATGAAAATAATTCAATTTACAATACATGTATGTCATTTATTTTGTTTCACTTATAATTATTTTCAACATAAAGGAAAACTATTTCATTTTTACAGAGTTTCTCTGAATACAATAGATTTGACTAAAGTTTGCAAAAATCATTTTTGCTGCTACATGTACATTTTTTGGCAATTTAAAATGATGAATTTTCAGGAAGCCACTCAGACTGGGTAAAGTATTCACAATTGCAATATTCTGGATTTTACCCTCCCCCCTCCCAAAAAACCAAAACAAAACAAAAAAAGCTTAAAATTCGTGAACATTGGTCTCTTCATAATATAGTGGTTTACATATATCTCTGGAAATTGACAATGTAGACAGGTCTCTAACCGATTTGATGGGCACACCTCACACTTAATAATAGTAGTGATGTCTGTATTGTACAAGACTGTCACTTTATTCTCCATCTAATTACAGGTGTTTATATAAACAGTTGTTAGTATAATAGTCAAAGGTTCAACTGAACATTAGTGGGAACCACACCATAACATGACAAGTTTGTACAAAAATCAAGTTCTGGCAGTCTGCCAATGCATTCATTTGAGGACCTCCTGTACAGGATGGAATAGTATTAAGTAACCATAGAAACTGTTTAATCTGACAGTTGAATATTTATCTCATTATGTTGCTGTGTGTTACTTTAAGTACAATAGTTTGTTTGTCTTGTATATCACGTACACTATGCTTTTATCTGTGTGTGTTGAATTGAGACACAAATACCTTTTTGTGGATTGTTGTCGGAGTTAACCGTCATTTTCTGTAGTGGTTGGTGAATGATTTTGTAGAGATTAGCCTCTAATCTGATGTGATCACTTTTTTACAATTGATGGGGGTTAATATTGACTTTTTTTAGAACTCTGCTGACTGAATAATAATGAAGTAAGAGTCAACATGGAATAGTCTGCTGTTTACATAGTATCAGAGCATGTACATGTACTTGGTGTTATTTTCACACCGTCATCACTGTCCTTCACCATTCAAACTAAAATATACAGTAAATAACAGTACAACAGTCTCTCATGATCAAGTTCAGTACAGTCTTGGCTTAACTTAACTTCCAAGCTGACTACATGTATCAGCTGGCTTTATCATAAAGACAATTTTTAAAATGAGTATCATTGCCATCAATATTTTCAACTTGTTCGTTATAGTATTTACCCGTGTTACCAATGGAAGACATGTTTACGCAGATTACTCTATACAACTTACATCTGTGGCAGTTTTGAAAGCAATTTAATGTCAAGTTACATTCAGACCATACTGTACACTTGGGGGATTTTCACACCCACACAACTGTTCCTCATCGTCTAAACCAAAATATGCAGCAATAACAGTCTTGTGCGATCAAGTAATTGTCTGTGGATAGAAGAAACCTAAGTAGACTAGTCTGCCTATTCTCTAAGACAAGCCTACGTCACAAACTGGTCAAAATCCCCCAAACATTGCCAGCAACCAATCACAGACTAGCTTAAACAATACATGTAGCTTTCCCTGACGATAATACTTAGCAACGTTATTTCCCCCACGCTAACTTGAAAAATCTTTTGTTTTTGTCTCGTTTCCGGTCTGTCTTAGAGAATTGTAATGCATGATACTGATATTGCTTGGGTTTTGAACTAAACCTGTCCAGTATTCCAATTATTTTTTCAATTCTCGTGTTTTTGACGCAACTGTAATCCCAGTGAAGATAAACATGATGTCAGTGTGAAATTTACATTATTATTATCAACAGCTGATAATAAATGATTTGAAACTTTTTTTTTAAGCATTAATGCTTTACTCCTACTATGTAAAAAAATTTAACGTTTCTACCGGTAATTCAACATTTAAAAATGTAATTCAGTCATCATTTTGAGCATTTAGTGTTTTCCAAACAAATAATGATTCCTGTTAACGGAAACCTCACATTTTATATTCACTGCTTTGAACTGAGCTTAATTAATTAGGCTGGAGTAATTTCTCCTAAGTTACCATTGAGGTATTTACTAGTAGGCTAATTAAGAAGCAGATAAGAGCACTTGACTGAAAAAAACACGCACAAATACAATATGCAGTGTGTTAGGGGGTAGGACGGTTTGAATAGTAGTGTCAGAGTAGAGTGGCTGTAGTGTCCATCACTTCTGATAGTCACCTTGGCTTTAGTCTATTCAGTTGTGATTACATTCAAGTACAGCCGAGATAATGACGTACAACTTATTTTACTGATTTGGGGATCAGCATTGGATTGAATCTTCACAAGTAGTAACACTCCTGCATATATATGGCTTAAAACTGATGACTTAGGAGACCAAAAAGAGTGGCCACACCCTGCTCCCATATATTGTCATATGTTATCTGTCTCTGTTGAATAGTAATGTTTATTGTAATACATGTACAGTCAAAGCATAACTTACTGTAGAATACTTTATTTTCACTTGGAATTTATTTTCGCTATTTTCGCTGAAGGGATGATTCCGTGAAAATAAAATCCAGCGAATATACTTTTTTTCCTATATTTCACATTAAACTCATCAGAAATCAGTGAAAATAAATTCCATACAAAACACCCAAAAAGCCTTTTCAGCGAAAATTAATTCCAGCGAAAATAAAGTATTCTACAGTAACTCCTGGGCTTGCTGGTGCAGAAAAACTTGGAAGAATAATTATCATCAATAATTCCTTCTTATTCTTTGTATTATTTACCTAAGTTGCAAAATTATTTGTGACTTAATGTATTTTATCAAGCTGATTAAAATAAGATGATTACCAAAACTATGATATTATATTAACAAAAAAAAAAGGAAAAAAAAAAGCACAAACTAGGATCTTATTTTAATCAGATTGGTATTTTATATAATAGAAAGATTACTTTGCACATACATGTAAAGGGCTTGAATTTTGAAATTGTTAAAACATTTTTGAGGCAAAACATTTTGAAAATGTCCTGATCTCATTGAAACTGTATAGTGAACATATAAAGGCACTGTGATATAGTCAGGTAGCACATCAAGGGTATTGTGTTCATAGCCTCTGTGAAATTCAAGCCCGCATGTACAATGTACATGTATATAGTAGTTTTCAAAGCAAGCAATTTATTGTAAGCGATCTACATGTTGTGTTGAAATTGTACTTTATTTATGATAGAGAATAAGATTTACTTTCACATGTGAGACATTTTCACACATCTGATGGGGTGTGGTCTGCAAACTGGTGATTGTTTAGACCAAGACTTGTGAATTCTAATTTTGACAAATACAATATACATGTACTCTAAAGTTATGTACACGTAACTGCGAATAATTCTGGCAGTTGAAATTCAACGATTAATAGTACATGTATGTTGATTTACGGCGTAAATTCAAATTTGATTGTATAAAGATAAGCATTGTTCATTCCAGTTATATGTATACATCTATTGTGACATACCTGAAGCAACATCTGATAACTGCAGACAATTTTGATCATCGTTGATAATATTTATTATAGGTATGTGTTTGCATGTGAGAAATATTTGTATCAGTTGTGGGAACTCCGTCAATCTCATACAGTGGTCTGTTTCATTCACCAATTTAGCTAATATGGTTGCATTTATATTTATTGCTTTCAACTGTCGCTAGTACAGACTAAGTTCATAGTGTGTAGTTCACCTCGTGAGTCTGTCTGTTTGTTCGTTCGTATGCATGTATACATTGTACATGTACAAGATGGCTTTTACCAACTCGGTTGCACACATTCATGTCTCCGGACTTTAGCGTTTGTATCACTTATTATTGCATAATTTGCTCATGATTGTATCATACACGTTCATCGCGCTTTTTACTGCACCACACTGGTGGTCTGACTCAATCATTTTGACTCAATCATTTCATTATTTCATTAAATAAATGACCTCGTGAAAATTCTAATTTTCTCAGAGTAAGTTTAGATGGCCACAGTATTGGTTATATTTTGTGGTGCAATTGCGTGATGAAAACATGATACAAGGCAATGAATGTGCGATCATAATGTGATAAATACCTGGTGCAAAATTTAAAATACATGTAGCATACTATGTTATGTAAATTTATGTCTGACATGCTTGGACCAATCACAATATATCTGAGTACATCGTGAACTGATTCGAGATGGCCAACTGGTGGCCATTTTGTGATACCCAGGTCTGATTATCTCGACTATTTTATTTATAGATTACAACCATGAGTATAAACATGACAGATAACTTGCGTCCCGGGAATCAGTCGCACCATAGTTCGCCAGCTGGTAACCGTACATTGGAAGTATTACAACAAAGACTCAATTCCGCTGAACTAGACACTATCAGTCTCGTCCAGCAATTAAGTGACATGGGATTTCAACCTGAAGATGTGCAGGACTCGCCAACGAAAGACACTGGCTTTGACCACCCACTACCTCCTTTCGTGCCTAAAAACCCAGACACCAATGTGCTATTGAAGAACTATGAGAACGTCGTCTCCAGAGTGTGCAAAACAGAAAGTGCAATACAATCTTTGAAACTAAACTTGTGCTCAGTCCAAGCATCGCATGATTTGAGTAAAAAAGAAACTGGTTCATTGGCTGAGAAATTGGCGATCACCACTGAGGCGTATGATAAGGATACAAAGAAGTTGAATCGAGACTTAGCTAGAGCCAGGAAGGAACTGAAAGGTGTGTGCGAGGAGAGGAACGCTTTGGAGGAAGATGTAAGACGAATTACTGCTGCACTGGAAGTTTCCACCACAATGAAGGTAATAATGTCAATCAATTCTCAATATAGCTTAGACATCAATGACTGCTGAGATCTTAAATATAGCTTAGACAACAATGACTGCTGAGATCTTAAATATAGCTTAGACAACAATGACTGATGTGATCTTAAATATAGCTTAGACAACAATGACTGCTGAGATCTTAAATATAGCTTAGACAACAATGACTGACGAGATCTTAAATATAGCTTAGACAACAATGACTGATGTGATCTTAAATATAGCTTAGACAACAATGACTGCTGAGATCTTAAATATAGCTTAGACAACAATGACTGCTGAGATCTTAAATATAGCTTAGACAACAATGACTGCTGAGATCCTAAATATAGCTTAGACAACAATGATTGCTGAGATCTTAAATATAGCTTAGACAACAATGACTGACGAGATCTTAAATATAGCTTAGACAACAATGACTGCTGAGATCTTAAATATAGCTTAGACAACAATGACTGATGAGATCTTAAATATAGCTTAGACAACAATGACTGCCGAGATCTTATTTCGTTTGTTGGTTAAGTTCTTTCACCTGTAATGCAGGATATGCCATATTTTCTTGAGCGAAGTGTAGAAACACCGCGTCATTCATGAAAATAAGTTCTATCATGGCATTTTCTGACGAGATCTTATTTCGTTTGTTGGTTATTGAATTTCTTTTCCCTGGTTATACAGAATATGCCTTATTTTCTTGAGCGAAGTGTAAAAACACTGCATAAATTATGAAAATAAGTTGTATACTTCGCAAATGTCAGGGTGGTACATGTATCATGACGTTTCTGTAATTATTGCATACAAAGTTCCCAGAAAATCGTCAGGAAAGTCATAACTCTTTGATCTTCATATGAATATGAACTAATTTACAGTTCTGTTCAGTGATTGGGTGATTCAATATTCTATTCTCTTCATAGATAATATTGACGGATGCCCAGTGCACCGTTTGCCGTAGCATTAATGATAAAACTGTCTACCAACAGATACACCTAACAGAACAAATTTAAACCATACAATTCAATTCATGGATATTTCTAGATGTGCATTTTGACATCAATCTCAAGAACTAAACGTGACTTTTAAAGACTGTGACTGACATTCATATGGAATGATTTTCACACATATTCAATGCTAATTATAGCTACATACACTTTTAAAAACATTTGTGGATGTGAAACTATGCTTTGATTTGTACCTTCAATTCTCTATAAATTTAGTGAATATTATTATCATTTTTTGGGAAAAAATGCTATTTTCCACTTCTTCTTCAAAATTGACTTCTGACAGATTTGTTCATTTTATGAGAATAGGTTTAATTTTCTAGTTTTAGTTAATATTTTTGTCATTTTTGGTAAAAAAAATGGTATTCTCAAGTGTCTAAACATACAGCAGGGCTATATCAGTTGACAGGCATCTTGATGCTATTTTTATTGCGTTTTTATTTATATTTTTGTTAACTGTACCAAGAAGACGATCAATCCAACATCTCTCTACATCACATGTTAAATTGTGAACTTCTTAGCATTCTTACAAGTTCAGTTTTCATTGTAAATTGTTGTTCCATCTAGACTGACCTTTCCATCAAATATGAAGAGTTGAAATCTTCTAAATCCAGACTGAACAAGAGATTACAGGAGGTAAGAAACAGCATTAAATCTAATGTTCAATCTGAATGTCATTCACGAAGGGTGCTGAACAATATATAATAGACCAAAATGTATTTGCACACAAGAAGCCATCCCAACTTCTCTCCAAATTTTCTGTGTGAACAAACAAATCTTTTTAAATTGTATACATATACAAGACAAACCAATAATTTAGTTGCTTTAATTGGTTTAATTTTTTATCAGTTCTGCACAGTTTGAGCACTTTGAGGAAAAGGGAAAGATTACAATCTGTAAAACCATTAATGTATAAAGAATGTTTTTGTAAAATATTGCTGAATACTATTCTGCAGTGATGAAGTAACGTATTTGCTCTATTAGAAGCACATTTCCAGTAGAAGTGGATAAAAACCAAAAATTACATTAATTGTTTAACAAATCATTAATATAACTTATTTTGCCATCGAAGTGCCTTTTTAATTGTTATATATGCGCATGCGATATTTGTAGAACAAAGATGACATAATTTTTCAAAATCAGTTTTGTTTGTTTTCAGTGTGCAATTGCGAACATACTATTATTAAATACTGTAAACTGCTTAATTTTCACTGCTAGGAATATTGAGATTTTTACCACCACTTCCCTCTTTTCATAACAATTCACAAAATAGTCTTGTTTATAGTCTGCACAAAAACTGAGTAAAAACTGAAAATTGACTCTAATTTTGTCAGTTGGGTCCAAAATTAGGCGTTCATTTCCTGAAATATTGAAGAATTTAAGAAAAAAGTACAGTCAAATTTGGACGAGAAAGTCTGGTGGTGAAAGGGTTAATATTCCTATCCTATGGCAAAATTATGAAGGCATAGTCGTGA